TCATTTGGTCCCCAAAATATTGGAGAAAGAAAACATTAGAAAAACAAATAGTAGAGAATGAGGATAAACCACGCAAGGTGCATATGTTTCGTATCTATGCCTATCACTGCATTCCATAGTTACGAAAAGTACTCATTTCTTCTTTTCCGCCTATTCCTTACTGATAATGAAGTTTGACACCTTGAGCTTTTCAAGGTCGAATATGCATTGGTTATTCACGTTGTAATTGACCTTGATTGTATTAATGGCATCTTAATTATGCAGCTGATGACCGTATATGCGTCGGTTGTGTCCACATGTAATTCAATTTATATCGGTGAAATTGAACAAATATGACTCATCTTGGCCATATTTATGGTTTGAGCGATTTTCAGATGTCTCCTTGGTCATCTCTTATTAATACGATTTGAATCCTTTTGATAAGTGATATGAATATTGAAAATTAATCATTTAAATTAAGTCTTTTATTTTGTATCAAGGAAGCACAAATTGGAAGAAAGTATTTGAAAACGTACTTTATTCAAAAAGGAAATTCGCGTGAGCGGTAAAGATAGAACAGAAAGTGTAGGTGTACTCGCATTTTTGAAATTCTTTAATCAATATTCATTTCATCAATGAGTTCGTACTAAGCTAATTAATTAAATAAAGCAGTCTTGATTTAAAAGAACAAGGCTTAGGTACAGAGAAAAGAGGTTTCGTTTTGATTACCTGTCAAGTCAAGTTGATAAGAAAGACTTCTTTCAAAAATAATTTCACCTCAAAGAAATGGTTCTCTTCTCTACGTAGATACGCTGAAGATTATGCCACAATTTCTTCATGATGTTGTAACTGCCAAGGTAATTACATGCAAAACGGAATGATTTAGAGTCACATTTATTTTCGCCCATTTATCGAACCCCCCCCCCTCCCCTCCCAATCACCTCCATGTACCATCTAATAAACTGATCGCTTCATCTGGTGGCAAAATTCAAGATAGAATAACGATTTCTACTTTCTCAAAAGTCGGCTGGCAGGCGCCAGTCACCCTCTCTCTCTCTCTCGGTGTTGTGGTTACAACCGTGCAATTTTTTCATGGTGAGAATATGACTGTCGTTTTCATTTTGCTGATAAGTATTAATGTGAGAAACCTGGCGGTCATCTCTAATAGTAACAAATGCATGTTTAGATGTCACGCCGGTTGGAGTGTGCAACTCTTTATGTGACGGAAGGCTACAAGTCACACAGAAAAAGATAGTTATTGTGATGTGTTTATCTCATTTCTAGACTCAATTTAATAATGCTCACCCTTAGTGTTATAACCTAACTAACCATTAAGGTAACGAATTACTGATCGAACAATGGCCTTCTATTCCTCTAGTTGGGTCCTAATGATCACCTTGAATTTGTTGGAGCTATCTTAATTCCCCCATGTCAAGTGTTTAGTCGCAACTGCTGGGCCGCTTAAAAAGAGTATATACTTCAGGATTCCGTGATAAACATCGATTTTTCGATCGATTAGCCGACTTTAAACACTGAGGCCATGAGGTCGATATTGCCTCGAACTTGCTTAATTAAGCACCACACAAGCAACCTGAAGTATCCTAAAGTAAGACAAGGTGAGACTTGTCTACTTAGAAAGATGATTAAATGCCAAGAGTCTTGATTATAAAATGTAAAACCTTTAAAAATCAAACTAACTTTGAAAGTGTATAACTAGCCCAAATATTTTTATTTAGGAAATGAAGAATGTCTAACAATTGAGTCTAATGGTTGCACTTACTCACTGATTTAGTCAGGTCATCAAACTCAAAAATCAATTTTCCTCCCAGTTAAAAGCATTTCTTTTTGAAAATTTCCTTAGAAACTGGCTTATAATCGTTTGGGCATTTGGGAGACGACTTAATAGGATTTGAAATTGATAAGAACTTGACCATATGCAACGCACAGTGATCCCTAGTTTAGTTTAGTAACTGGTAAATGTCCTTTATTATTTTTCGTATTAATTATTATTATCCTGGAAAAGCAACTAGATACGAGAAGGGGAAGATAGTCAAAATCTAGGTGAAAGAACGAGACGATAAGTGGCAATTCAGTATGGGGGGAATGTAAAGTTTCATTTCCCTTAAATTCTGGATTGACCTTCTGGTTCTTCTAATTCATTACTAGTAAGTTGAGGTTTGTGACTTAAAGTTCGTATTTTCGGATTTGTGGGAGGATTTAAGACTGCAAAAGTCGACGCTGTAAATGAGGTGATTTCAAAATAGCTCTATTAAAGAGTAATTAGTTGACAGGAGTTAAGATGCATTGACAATACTGAATTCCCTGTTAGCATGAGCAATTTCACCATCAAGGTTTAATTATCCATCAGGTTTAGTATGTTTGCTTTTTTTCAAGCTAACAGGTTAGCCAAATCAGATGTGGATAATCGCAAAGATGTAAGTCAATTGCAACCGACCAGTTCATTGACATTTAGTTAGCAATGCAATTAGGCAAAAATCGATCCCCAATGCTTGAGTAAGGTCACTACTGCAGAGGTAATTTCAGCAAACCCTTCCTTACGGGAGTTCTCAATCTTATGCAAAGTTACCGTGAGAGATTAAATTTTTTTTAATTTCCGTTGATGTTTCACCTTAAATTAAACAAAGGTCAACCTAGGCAAGAGTTTGGGTAATTACATAAACTACAATGGAATTTTGCCATTTACCTTAGGTAGTTGTTAAGATTGGTTTACTTAGATTCGCTTAAGGTAATCTCACCCTTTGGGTGGATGGGGGGGGGGGCTGGGGATGATCTAGCTAACTCTAAGTTTTAACCATGTTTTAATCTACGGGGTCAACATTGTTCAGCGTCTCCATTGGCAGATAGTGCTGTTCACTTGAAGAATGCCAGTTTAAACAAGTTTTTTTGTGTAGACGTCAACTGCAAAAATATTGTCAGCCTATTATATGCTGTCACTATGCCTGTGGTCTTAATAGACAATACCCTGTTTCATTTGTCATTAGAAGTTCTGAGAGTGAGGGGGGGCTAATGTTTGCGTTTGTTAAATTGACTGAAAGTCGAGAGAGAGAGAGAGAGAGAGAAAAACTTGCAGTCATTCCATAATCATCGCTTCAAAATAAGTGTTTGTGAAAAACAAATTAGTTGAAATACACTTAATGTTTTAGAAGGATTCACAGCAGCAGGCTGGAAGGCTCATTGGCACTCATTGGTCCACTTGTAATTTTTTTGCTTGTTTTGGAAGTATTCCTCTATACAGGAGACACATACGCGCGCGTAGTGTCAAATGCTTTATTTAGATGTTAACAGGCCCATTAATTGAATGATTCAGCTGATACCTATTTAATTGAAGTGCTGTTTGTTTACGCCTTTTAAGAAGTGGTGAATAAGAAGCTAAGTTCAATATCTTTGATATCGATTACTAAATGGCATTAGTAGAAAGGTATTATAGACTTATTATGTTTTAAGAACTTGCCATCTCATATGGTGAGATATTTTCAAGCATTTAGCTTGTTCTAGACGAGCAATCTCTTTGACCCGTCCTAGTGAGTTACTGCATTTGTGTTGTTTGATATGACATTCCACTTACTGGATGCTCTCCGATGACCTTCAAAGAGCATATCAACTATTGCGATTAGAGTATTTTCTAAACCCTAAGCAAAACAATTAGATTCATGTCACAGCTTTTCTGCTTACAAATTTATAATCTGCCGTTTCCATGGAGACCGGTATTGATCACTCCTATCGGCTATTTAATTTATTTATTGGTTTATTAAACTTCTGACAAGTAATGCAATAGAAATGCAACGTTATTTCGCTATCGTCGATTTTCTTACATAAATTTACTTTAGCCAGTGGTATCAAAATTTTGCCTGACAATAAAAATGTAAAAATACGAAATTATGAAAACCTGTTTTACAAATGACAAGAGTCTTACTAAGAGGAGGAAATGTTTAACAATCGATTTTTGTTATAAACTTTGGGAATGTAAAAGAAATAAAAGTGAGGAAAAGCAAAAATATTGAATTTTTTCATCAAAAATATTACGCAGCAACCTTTCCAAGAAGGCAATCATTGTTTATCCGTCAACTCACCATTCGAAATTTAAAGCATACATTTTAGTCACAATTAACCTGCTGGTTATCTATACTGCCGTATCGATTGGTGACGAATATTTAAATCCCCAGAATTGAAATGACTTAAAGTAGAGTCTCTTGAATTATTGAGGAAGCCTTCAAAATGGTTTAAACGTAAATTAAACTGATAGTGAAATTGCTAACTGGCGTAGATGAATACTGAAATGAATAATAATATCAAGTCGAAATACCTGTATTCGTCAGAGTAGTAGAAATAATTTTAATTGAGTATATTTCTATAACCACAGTGAGTGTTCTTCTTTGATCGTATTTTCTCCTAACTTTCCATGGGAAAAACCAATCACAAAATTCCTAATTTAAATGACTTCATTATGCTTTAAGCGTTGACATAAACTATCAATTAGAAGCCGTAATTGGACTTCATACCCTTTTCCCATTTGTATTTCAAATGATTACTCGTCAATCATCTTGAATTCTGTTCCAAGATACTAAAATTAGAAAGAAAAATGCATGGATATTATAAAAAGACAATTTATAAAATCAGGCCAATCTGTTATATTTGAACCAATCAGGGAGCACTTCCCACGCCGTAATCAGCGGGAGGGAGATTCAACCAATCACAAAGGAGCGCGCACTACAACGGAAGCACATACGCACGACATTAGTTAAGATCTTTCATTGGGCAAGAGCTCATTTATCACACGATATTGCCTGTGCGCATCCACTTAGGTATACGCTTAACACATAAGTGTGTGGCAGCAACTAGTGACAACAACATTTAAATTTCTTATTTTGTGTCCATTTGGTATAACACACTCACACCCCTTGTGTCTCGTTTCCTTCTTTCTGGTGCTCGCGTATCACCCACCACAACGCACATCCGAACACTAGATAACATTACTGAAGTCATTTTCCGCCAACAGCCTCATGGAAACGGTTGAACGATCACCGTTGATGTACAGATCTGGGGGTTTGCTTAATAACTCTCCACCTACCGTGAAATCGGAGACTGTTGATGACCACTACGCCATCAAGATTGAGTCTAATATTACAAACACGCCTGTCTCACCAGGTAAACGCAGAAAAGCGCCAGATTCAAGATCCGAAAGTCCGGTTATTGAAGCAAAGATACCAAAATGTTCCTCACCTGGTGAAGAAGATGAAGAAGAGAGATCCAATTTTAAAACATCAGTTGAAAGTATGGCGAAGCTCTTTCCCCACTGTCCAACAGAGTTCATTTCAAATATTTTAGCGGTAATGGCAACGAATGGGCTGATGCCACCAGTCAATCCTTCAAGTCAAGACCTTGCTTCTTCCCAGTCGCCTGGATTAAGTAGGTGCGGAAGTAATGAAAAAACACATTCTTCGCCTCTTCCTTCTAAACCGAAGACATCTCATGCTATCCAGGATATTTTAGGAGAGACCGATAAAATTAATTACAATGGAAGTAGAGGCAAGGAATCACCTAGATCCTCTACATACGATGAAAAGAAAGAGGAAGACTCGAAAAAACCTAGCTCACCTCAGTCAGCTCCATCACAACCACCACCCCCACCACCACCACCGCCAATCTATCCCCTTCTTAATTGGACCCCTCAACATCCACCTCTTAGATTCCCATTGCAGGAAGACTTTTCCGCAACTCTTCGACAACTAGGAGGAGGTTCAAGTTATCTTTCTGGAATGAATTCTCTCCCATGTCCGTCTGCTTGTGACTTACCAAGGGGTGCAAGTGGTGGGACCAATTTCTTCCCTCAACGATTCGGAATACCACATGCTGGATTAGCAAACCCACCATCTCCATCTCTTCTATGGATGCGAAATCCAAGTGAGTTTTGCACACATTAAGATAATCTCCGAATTCGCTGTCTATTTTTTTGTGTGTACATGATAGGACATTATGATGTGTTGGCTAATCTCGTCAATTAGCATAAATTATCACCTCAAAAGCATTACGCTATTTATTGCGTTTTGGAAATGTCAAATTTTATGTATCGTTGACACTCCCCACCCCCACCCCCATCTCTCTCTCTAATATTGCGACCTCAATTACAGTTCAAGTTGCTAAGGCTGTTTTAAATGCATGAACCCCTCCTGGGATAGCTGAAAGCAATGTGAACAGTTGGTTAGGTGATAAAAATGTTGACAGGAATGGAAAGGGGCATGGACACCATTAGTATCATTCGTCTCCATGGCCCTTAAGGAATGTGTCAAAGGTATAAAATTTTAATGATAACCTGTTGAATTTTGCTTTTTTTCAGCTGAAAATATGAATCATATGGATAAAGATGGCAAACGGAAGCATACAAGGCCGACTTTCTCCGGTCAGCAGATATTCGCGCTTGAAAAAATGTTTGAACAGACAAAGTATCTGGCTGGACCCGAGAGAGCTCGATTGGCCCTACTACTCGGAATGTCGGAGAGTCAAGTTAAAGTGAGTAACACTCTCTTCTTCGTATTAAAATAATTAAGACGTAAAGTTGATTAAATGCAATTAGTATTATTAAAATTAAGAGGGACAGAGAAAAGTAGTTTCGTTAATTAAGATTCCATCAGTTCACACTCCCATAGGGTGAAAGGAGGAAAAAGTGGGGAGATTTTTCGTGATTTTTGTCGAGCACGATACGTAGGTCCATATGGCTACTCTAAAGGCCCATCCCCCCCCCCTCTCTCGACGTCTCATTTACCCCATTGATTCGAAGGCGGAGATAGATCTGATTTTCGGATGAGTAGGAAGTCATTGAGAATTGGGTGAAAACGGACCCTGTGTTTTAGGAGAAGCCGGGTGAGCGGAGCGGGGGGGGGACAAGTTATGCGGTGAATTGAGTTCGAAGGAGGACCCACTTGTGTCCACACTGTGGTTTCAAATAGGTAGCCATATGGCTACTGTATTCTCTTTCCCACGTTCAAACATTCTCACTAATACATTTATCTTTATTGGACAGACGGTGTGTAGGTTAATGGGCTTTATCAGAGTGTCGTCACCCTTTAAACTCGTACAGCTCGAAGTAGTTGTATTGCGGTGAGAGTGAAGATTAATAGCTTCTCTAAACCATATTTTAACCGCCTGACAGTCTGGACCCTTCTTATCAGATTTTATTCCTTTTAATGGTTGCTTAACAAAAGGGCCTTAGTGACTTCTTAATGGAATTTGATATGGTGGTTCTCTCTGTCTCTCTCTCCCTCTCTCTCTGTCTCTCTTTCGACGTATTTTGAAGAGAGAGAGGGAGGAAGCTTTCAAACCCATGAATTGGCTTTTTTAACTCCACATATGATTCCCGTCGCGTCCTCTTAGTGATTTTACAAACTTTTAATTAGAATGTCTAAATGCTCTCAGGCCACCCCTCCTTTCATCACAGGGAATAAGGTAGAGAACAGTTGTTCATTTGTCATCATCACAACTTAATGAGGGTACACATTGGCTTTTAACAAGCAAGGCCTTCAAATGTTCCCAGAAATTTTAAAACCTCTTAATTGCCCATTATTAATCAGTAATTTCAACAAATCAAGCGTGTGCCAGGCAAGAACTAAAATCTGCCTTAATTCGTCCAATTCATTTTCTCATCTGCACTGTTGAATACGTTGGTTAGAGCCCTTGTTCACATTTGTCAGAATTAGACAAACAGTTTTTTTTCAAAATCACAATCCCCGGAATAAAATGAACATGGCAAATAGATCTTTTTTATTCAAACGCATTGAACGTCCTACTCATGTCTATTTTTAATGGATTTTTTGGGTACTTAAAGACCCCTTAACCTAAGGGAGTGTAATTTACTCTTTTTGACTTATTTATTTAAAACTTAATTGTAAAACGTCATCTAAACTTTGTGTGTATTTGTAAGTTGAACTCCAATTGGTATATGTTTATGCTCTAGATAATTGAATTGATCATTCAAACGTAAATAGTAATTTAAGTTGGTGGGAGGTCAGACATTTGTAATCATTCTGCCATCATCATGGCATTTACATCTAAGCTCATTAACTCACATAAAAAGCGCCAATGTGAGCTCTATGACGAATACATGATTTTCCGACTTTTTGACAACCTTACCAATGATGTTAAAGTCCACCTACTTAGCCAGAATTTACATCTTGTCGTTCGCAATTGTTCGCAGTAAATTTTAACAATAAGTTTCACACATTTTTTGTCCTAGTAACAATGGCAAGCCAAATTTACCTCTTGACAAATGTATATTGTTGATATAATTGACGCGAAAGCGTAATTAAAACTTGTTTAATTAATTGGGATGCGAATGAACAAGGTGCGTTTAAGTTTCATCAATTGCTATCATCTGAGGCTCTTGGAAGCTGTATAAATCTCAGGGGTAAAAAAGTAATCTACCTTTTAAATCATGAGGAACCCCTAACATTTGATTTAATTTTGGGCTGTTTATGTTTTCGTTTGGTACGAAGGTTTATGCCTAATTATTTGTTTACGGTCTGTTCGCTGATAAGTAGAAGCATGTTAATGAATTTTCTTTGAATTGATGGAACGATAAATGGAAATCGTGCATTACCAAGTTGCCTTTTGATTAACGTGCGTCATTCTACACCCATGCTTATTTATCACATGTAGATTAGGGTAGCTTATTGTCGGAATTCGCAAGGCACAAACATTGTGAGTGATTATTTGGACAGGAGAGAGAGATAGCCTGATCATATTTCTCACTCACCTCAAGCAAATCAAGCTGTAAATGGAAAAAAATCACCATAATTGTGCTGTAGCACTTAAACAGGCATAAGTGAGTACAGAGATGTGTGTGAATTTAGAACACATTGAGAGAATCGGAGGCTTTTTCTCACGATGCACTATTAAGCTTCGTTTCAAGTGAATAGCTTATTAATACGCTTTATCGATGTAGCTTTCAACCACAATCCTTGGTTTGTTTTTTGTATCGCGGTAGTTCAGGCGCGTGTCCCCCTCCCCTTCCAACCCTTTTTCCCCCTAATCTCATCTTTCCTGCTAATTTCTACAATCTCCACAATCTAGCACCTCTGCTTCTTGTGCTGCGTTATATATGAATTAATAATTATTTTGACAAGCACCCTGAATAAGTAGAGTACGCAGTTTATACAGAGTCATCTCGTATGAGGTTAGATGGAATTGGAGAGGGGGGGGGGAGGATGGAATTAGAGTAGGAGCAGCTAACAATGGGTAGGAGGTTTCAATACCACAGCCCTTCCCAGTCTCCCATCCTCCCGTCCCCCCCCCCTTAATGAAAGGCGGGGACTTATCCCATAAGTTATTCATACTCATCTTTTGCGCTTGAGTAGATGAGAGACGCGAGGTAAGGAGAGAAGGCGAGGAAATTAGTGAGTGATAGGGGGTGGGGTGAGGTGGGGGGTTTAGGGGTGGAGAGATGTTGGGACAAAAAAACCGCAAGATGCTATCTCTTGCTCCCACCCCCTCTCCATACCTTGAATAAATTCATATTTTATGCGCATGCATACTGTCATTATGTGGTGTAGGTTGAATCGGCAAAAGGAGGGCAGATCTTACTTAAAGTATTAAGCAATGGCAAAGGTGAGGCTCTTTTAATTATGCAGACTCCAACTGCGCGGCCAATGGATATCACATTAGCTTCGGTGAAGTAGCTTGCACTGCTGTCGATTATATAGATGAAAATAAATGTAATTAGAAGTCTGCTTTCGATATCACACACAAAACCATGAAAGATCCCCGATTAATTGATTTATTCAAATGCGTTTTTTAAGGTGTGGTTCCAAAACCGTCGAACAAAGTGGAGGAAAAGGAGTGCGGCAGATATGACTACGATAAAATCAGGTTGCAGTAACCCTCATCCAAATTTTATTCCTACAACAAATAGCATGAAAGCTTCAGTTACGAGTGGACATTCGTCCCCACGATCTGAGTCAAGACATAATCGTTCACCAAGTGAGGATACGTCTGGAAATTCTGTTGAGGCTTTCGATGAAAGCAAAGATTTGACAAAATCCATCCCACCTTCACATCTCTTGCCACCGCCTCCTCCTCCTCTCCCTTCAAATACTGGAGCTGGGGGTCAGCTTCCTCCAGTTATTCCTCCACATTTGGCGAGTGCATTTCTAGCAGCCACTAGTTCACTTCAAGGTCTTCCATTTCCTTTTGGAATGCTTGGAATTCCTCCAAGAGAAGATATTGAGGAGGCTTTGAGGTCACGTCACTTTGAGGGATCTTCCTCAACCGCTAATCAACCCTTGAATCCTCTTTTCTCCCAAATTCCTCCTTCCCACCCCTTGCCACAGAATGGCACTGAGAAGCACTGAGTGCCATGGTAACTGCTGGGATATCTCTGAGATGCATTTATAACAGGAAAGCTAGCACTAGAAATATGTCTACAATGACTTTCATTCAACTCCTGTACTCAAATGTTAATGCCTTTTTCCCGCCCTAACGATATATATATATATATATATATATATATAAACCAAGACGCCCTCCAAACTAATTCAAATGTAAATTTATTCCATTCCATATTATGTGAAAATGAAATTCTTTTTTCCATTAATTATTCTGACATAGACCAACCTTTGGTTGCCTTCATTGTAAACCAAAACGATTTAATGCCTATTATCGTGTAAAGTAGCCAAGGTTGATGGATGAAGGGTTGAGTTAAATAGAGGTGGATGCGCGGGGATATGGCATGGATGTTGAAGAAACAAAGGGGGTTCATATGGGATTTGGGTTTATGAGGTTAAGTGAATCCCCGAACTTCATAATCGAGTGCGTTACATCCTTCGGAAACCAATTTATCTCAAATTTTAATGAGCAGTCATTAGTAAGATGGCCAGTACCGGAGTTGGGTTCACTTTAAACAATAAAGCTCACTTATTTACGGTTCACCCTATTCATCTTCACGTTCTTCTCTGTCCAGTCATCTAAAGGTAGTCAGTAGATGTTTGGATAATTTGCACTTTATTTACTCAGAGATGATTAGCCATATTATTAGGAGTTAGCACAAGTTTGCTTTGAAGTAAAGTGAGGAATGGAAGAAGAAACAACCTTCACTGTGTTTGATATATATATATATATACATACATATAATTAAATTATGGGGTGTGCGATAGACTTACCTCCACGTGGTGCACCCTGGGCAACGTATACTCATACGGCAAAAATGTCTATTAACCGGCAGTTGACTTCTGACTTCAAACTACCATGACCCCACTGCATTTCATATTCGAATAATTTCACAGTACTCATCTTACCTTACCTTTTCTCTACCTTTGTGTCTGTCTGTCTATCTCTTTTACATCTGTGAATCATTGTTCTGTCCCCCTCTCGACTCTTTGCCACTTTGATGTTCATCTTCCTTTCTATGAAGCCCGAAGTCAACTAAAGGGCTAATGATACATATCATAACGTCTGCCATTTGAAATAAATAAAATAATTAAATTATAATTATAATTAATAAAACAGTAGGTCTTGATGGAACTGATGAAATTTTACATTTCACTGAGTGCATTTTTCATATATATTAGCGCAAACATCCTTGAATTAACTACAAATTTACGTATAAAATTTATTAAACTAATAAACAATTTGACTTAAAATGTTTTTTTCTTTTAATAACAGCTGCTCGTAGATGGAAAATTTTCTTAGAATGGGAATTATGAAGAATATTTATTTTATAAACTGCAGATACAAGGTTTTGTCTCAAAGCCGTTATTTATCTAAGGGCCTATTCTTGTATACAAAAGTGTAAACTTCAAGTTGTGCGCAAGTGGGGCATTGATTGCCATACTGAAGTCACGTGTTCGACGCCCATCAACGCGCACTCAGTGAGTGCAACGACTAGGCGTACTGATTAAGTCTGAGTAATAATGGCTCAAGAAGGATTTGATCCTCCCAGCAGAGTCCCCAAGTGAATTGATTGAAAACGGCTTCCCGAAGCCTCGCCTTGTGCGTGGTCGTCGTGTCCACCCATAAAGTTAGAGGTCACTGGGTCTATGGTCATTGGTCATTGATGGTCAGCAATGTGTATATCCAACCGCATTGTATAGTTGTGGGGGTTGACTATACATTTCTCACCTGAAGGGCTTCAAAATGAACTCTCTTTACTAATCAATAAGTCGTGCATGAAATTTAGAAAGTTTATACTCAATACATACATATATATATATATATATATATATATATATATGCAGTCATCCATCTCGTCTTAATTCATTATTAGGGGTAAATGTGTTAGTTTTGCCCAGGGAAGTAGCGTATTTCAAAATCAAAGGCTCAAGATGTCCTATAACAACTCTTTGGCTTCAAATTTCCAACCGTTCCTATAATTAGAAGTCTTTAATGAATAGCTACACATGATTTTTTCAAAAAAATTTACTCCTCATATTAAAATTTCCTTAAATAACTGCGTCCGTATATTAATCAAGACTTCGTTGTAATTTTGTTTATTTGTGGTCACCACATGCATATTTCGTCATTTCATCTTGAAGTGCCTATGCATCAGTACACTTTCAGATATCATTCGTTGTGGTAGATCAAAGTAATAACTTATTTCATTATCAGTGTTTCATTATTATCAAATAGTCATAATAAATTAACTGAATATATCCCATTATTGTCACTTCGCTTTTGGGAATAGGTGACAATTGGCGTAATTCGCCCCATAAAACGTGATTAGGCTTTGGGTATGTGCGCGAAAAATTTGTAGTAATACGATTATATAAGGGATAGCAAAACATCATTTAGTATGCAAACACACAACCAAGCAAGCCAATTTGTTCCATAGACTATCATTCTTATATATCAAGCAATCATCATGGTCAATAATCCTAGAAAGAATAATGAGAGCACTTTGCATAATTATAGGTCACTCATGAGATCTTTAGTTTATGTAAACGACACCTAACCCTAATCCTCACTCTGGGAATGGCTACCAGTTCATTACAATTGCATAGAAAGTGCGCATTACTTGAGATCAGATCATATTAAGAATTACTAATATTAATATAAAGCATTCACATAAAGCCAATGTTCCTTATTGATTGATCCTGTTTTTCACTGCTATTCAGTTGTTCACCTCCGAATAGGGTGCCTGTTAACGAAGGATATTTCTAGACATTGTTAACGCAAGTTGACAGGCATCAGAAGAACAAACGAGACCATGCCAAGGTGCTAATCTTGGCCTACAAAAAACTAACGATTTTGTAATTATAAAGAGGACAGTGGCGTCGATAACTGATGATTAAATTGGCAACCTCTATTCATAGTTCATGCTATTCAGTTAATCACAACAACCCAGAGGTAATTATCAGTCATAACAACTGCTTTTAGTCCTCAATGGCACATATCACCGAGCAGTCTGACCAACCGCACCGATTAATTCCGGAACACCGAGGTTCCAGAATGCAACTCCGCTGTCTAATACATATATTAGAAATCCTTCTCTTAAAAGATTATAAAATTACTAATAATGTACTATCACTCGTGAAAACCAGGATATCATGGGTTGGTTGTATTGGTTTGATAAACGTCACGATTTTTTTCAAATCTGCCTTTTAATTTAGCATGTTTCTCGATGTGTGCATTTAGTAAAAACGAGTTGGGAAATTAAGGCGTTTTATCACAATCAAAGGCGGAGATTTTGCATTACTTGATAATACATTTAATACTTTAATCCAAATTAATTAAAGTAAATAAAGAGAAAGACCTAAATTAGAACCAACCAATATTTGGCACGATTTCAAAAATATTAATTCCACTTGCAGAATTACTAAATGATATTAAGCTTCATGGGGTGTGCGATAGACTTACCTCCACGTGGTGCA